ATCCAACACAAAAAGCACACAATTTGCCGAAATTCAAGCAAAAGGGATGCTACAGCTGATATATGATACACACAGTTGCATATGTAAGAGTACTTATGCATGGATGTGTACTTGTGTTTGTGTTTGTGCACGCTTACCCAGTCGGAAAAGTAGTACATGCGTGATAAAATAGTGTTATGTATTTCCAATGAGTTCTCGATTCTATTACTGTCAATTGTGTAATCAGCATTCTAATGTATCCAAAAAGTTTCAACAATTTCATATTAAATCACACTCATTTCTCGATACTAGCTAATGCAAAATTGAAGGCACCACTTTTCTTAGGACATCGCCGTGGGGCTAAAAATGCGTTTTCGAATGTGAAAAGAGTTATGGTTATTTTACTGATTATTTTTCGATTACTATACCTTAGATTTTCCCACTGGGTACATACATATATATTTATGTGCATACTTGCAAAACAGACTGTTGAAATCAGAGATACGAGCAGCTGTAATGAATGAATGAGTAGCACAGCGGTGAGTGTCGTAAAATTATTTTTTTTTTGTGTTCAGTGCAGTTTTGGTTTTTATTTAAACGAATTTGACTTCTCTGCTGCTAGTTTGGTGCCTGTTGTTGTTTTGCCATTTGTGTTTTTTGTGGCACAAAAATTGTTAGCCGCCTAAATTGGAAGGACAGACAGACTATCAAGACTATAAAAACACACATAACAAGCGTAGCAATTCAAATTACAATAGCCACTACACAAATAATGTGGCAACAACAACAACAACAACAACAACAAATTGCATGCCAACATACGAAATACATACTATTTTTTCATGCTTTACAGCAAATGACAGCAGAAGTGATAAAAAAGTGTATAAAATAGTAGTTTCTTTGCGGCCGACTGGCGAAATGTATACACTTTTAAAGCTTGCGAGTGTGTGTGTGTGTTCGTGTGTGCATTGTGTGTGTGTGGCAAAATATTTTTTGTCCACATGTGGTTGTGTTTGTGATCATTCTTTTCATGCCGAAAATTACTCTTTCAACTGACTTGCTAAAGAGACAATTCATTTTATTTCTACACTTATTTGCTCAAGCACTTAGACAAAAAGTTTTTGTTTATACTTTCCTCTTTATGAATGTAGATAAGCGATCCTGTCGGAAAAATGAGGCTGAAATATGTAGTAAGGACTGAGCATGTATTTTTTTTTTAAACAGAAGGTACATATGTATATTCGTTTCAGCTTTGGGTGTCTTTTTGAGGTGGTAATGTAATTTCTGCTGAAGAAGAAAATATACTTTTGGGACATTTTATGAAAGGAGGAAAAATTGGGACACCATTTTTGGACTGTTATGAACCTTTTAACACTTACATCTTAAATAGTTATACCTTGGGTACAGTATAATATTTTGGGACAGGGATATTTTTTTAACTTTTTATCCTATATAAACACGAAATTTTTCTTAGGTAGTACACACACCTTTTGCCAGAAAAAAATATTAGGACAAAATGTTTGGGACCACGATATAGCTTTGATAATCTTACTTAAGTACAGTATTATACATATTTTGGTACAGTATTATGTTTTGGCAGAAGATTTTCTAGGCTTTCTATATTTTCTAAACACTTATGTACTGTTGTTATAAATATTTACCCACAATCATACTGTTGGGACAATCTAATAATAATCAAAAAAATTTTGGGAAATCTTTTTTGCGACAGTGCTGTAGCTTAGAAAATATTGTTTATCTGACATTTTGGGCAATTACATATATATTTTGGGATACCGTTATTTACAACTTACCTCTGCAGTAAACAGTGAGTTTATATAAAAATACCTACACACGTTTGAAAAGCGAAAGAAACAAACTAAAAATATTTTTGAAAACCGGAAAAAAAATATTTAAAAGGACGTTGCGTTAAAAATATTGAACATTTATTGGAAGAGGGATACACATAGCTAGCACATTTTCTTAACTTAGGTCGTTGTTCACATTTTTCTTTTCAAATCATGCGAAAAGCGAATGGCGAGCTATTGCGTACGCTAAAAAAATTTGGGAAAAATTATTGGGACATACTTTTTTTTTAATAAAGCGTTAGTTACCATGAAAACTGACAATAATTTGCATTAACTATCGTGGCCAAGCTTCAAAAAAAAAAAAAACATGTTAATGTTAGAAACAAAGACCGTGTTAAGAATTTTCGGGATGTTTAACTGATTTAAATTGTCTCAAAGAAAAATTGTAACGAAAAATCAAGTGGAAAAAAAATTTCAACGACGTCGCTTTTAACTTCTGGTTTATTTAATTAAACTCTATAATTTTCATTTGATGCTGTGCAGCTCATGCATGCACATTGTTCAATGTGGCCTTCGTATTTTCACACCAACGCTAACGCTCTCGCTCCTTGCACGCTTGACACACACACACACTTATGTCAATGTTTTAGTATTGCTGTGGCCATCGCTGGCTCAATATATTCGGGACAACATACAAATGTACACAAATAATGCCAAATTTTATAGTAAAAGTCAAGTTCAAAACATAAAACTCGTTGAAATTCTCCACATTTGCGCACTCAAACTAAGTTCAATGAGACATGCTCAGCAATAGAATTTTCCTAGAATTCCATTTCACCAACATTTTCGGTATTTAGAGCTAATTTAGTTAAAAAGCTGCCTCCATTTGACACGCCACATGCAGACATGCATGACAATGGAGTAGCGTACGGGTAGAGGCATCAGTCGGTGGTGGCGTACGTGCAAACTAAAAGCTCATCTCATACCCACAATCACACTTATGAATGTACATATTTACGTGTGTATGTATAGCCATTTGCACGCATGTTGATATGTTTAATTAAGTATTAGCATAGCAACTAATGAAGGGTGCGGATGTAGTGGAACGTGTGGTCATAGCCTCGAGGCGCACGTGTCGGTAGTGTCATGTAGAATGCATATAAGTGTGCGTGTGTGTGTGTTTCTGAGCTACGCTTAAGTGTCATCATTACATATGTGAGAGCTTATACTAACTAACACACACTCATAAATGCCATATGAGCTTAACACTTACTAGTCAACTTTGCCGTAACGACATTGGCGTAACTTTGCAACAGTTGACCGACGTTAAATCCCAGCAAAATACACCCCGCTGACCAAATTTATTTCTATAGACTTATGTATATACATACATACTGAACTAGAAGCGTATGCGGCGACACATGTATGCAACTCATACACTAAGTTATTATTGTCTGTGTTCATGGCGTATGGCCCCGGTGGCTAAATTACGGCAAAGTATGGTATTTAGTAACAGTTGCTTAAGTGGCAGATTCGCTGTCGGAAATGGTGCTGCAGCTTGTGGAAGCCCAAAAGGATATTCTACAACAATTTACGGTTTTATATGTATGTATATTTTCATAAATTACGTGCGTACACTACGACGCTGTTATGTTTGTTGCATTTGCGAAGCGAAACAGACAACAGCGGCTGGCATGTGTCCGACCGCAAATTGGAAGCCACTGAAAGACTGTTTGAAAATTCGAGTAAACATATTTTTGTACAAAAAAAAACAAAAAATAATTGTCTGAAAAAAAAATCACAAAAACTTCTCCAAAAAGATCTCTTACTACCAATGAAATGTCTTTGCAACACTTTCTTCCTCTTCAAAAGAATTCACTCAAAAAAACTCAATTTGTTGAATTTTTTTTGCTAAATTCTGTTATTCAAAATCTTGGTTTCTTTTAAGTCCTTATTTTGTGTTTTAATATATTTCTGGCTGTTAGTATTCCAGCATAAAAATTCCGGTAATTTCCTCACAAAAATTACCTAAAAAATCTGTCCAAAAATGATTTCTACATGAACAATCCTCCAAAACTTTGTATAAACTCCCAAAGCCCATTCAGAAATATTTCAATGAACTAAATTTGTTTGAAAATATATTTACTCCATTTTTCCTAATCTGTGCTTTTACAAAAATTATTCTATGTACATATGTTTTTCCCTCTTTTTCGGAAAATATGTCTCAAAAATTTTATCTGACAATATTTTTTATACTTAAACCATGATAAAAGCATATTAAGGTAGAACCGTTCTCTTAATTGGTCGGTCATGATTTTTTTTGAAGTTTGCCAGCATTTTAAATCATATAAAATTTAAAATAAAAAAATTAAATTGTTCAAAACAAAAACAAACCAAATTTAATTGTTCAAAATTTTAAATGTGCCTTTCAGCAGTTCTACCTTACTATATTTTTATCATGACTTGAACCGTCAATTTATGCCAAAAAACTTTTCCTAAAATTATTTCAAAAATCATAAAAAAGAAAGTGTCCCAATATTTTCCCACAAAGGGTTTGTCCTGCAAAGGGGCTGTGACTCTTTGTAGAACCCGCTAAAAACTCCTGCCTTCCCAAAGGCTTTGGTTTCTTCAAAAGTGTATGTCTTTGTTTGTGATTTGATATTTTAGTTTTATTCGTATTCTAAGATATAAATTGAAAAATTACTTTTACACAAAAATTTACAAAAAAAAAAAATCTTAAAAAAAATGTGTGCCACAAATATTTTGACCAAAAAATGTGCTCATTTCCAAAAAAAAAAGTTGATAAAGTGCTTGAGAAGTTCATAGTTGCGAAATGCCAGTGAAATAATATACCACAAGTAAAATCTAATGTTGCATACTTTTAGGCACTATTTCCTTTTGGCCACACTCAAATATTATTTCAATTACGCGCACACGCTTGTACCTCTGCGCATTTGTAGTGCACCACAGAGACATGCCACAATAACCACTGACATTTGTACACCATGTTGCCTACTTTTTAGCACACAATTGCATACTTTTAGGTTGGTCGGCTAGTTATTACAAAATTTGTGTGCGCAAACTGGCTACTAATGAAGTGGTAGCGAGGGCTAGTAGCGATTTCTGAATAAAAATAGGGAAATGAAATGAAGCTAAAAAACCTGATTTTTTAAATTTACTAATTTTCTTGTTATAATTTTCTTACTCTATTTTCAGGTTACGGCGGCATCTCGCCGCGCTCTCAATGGGGCCGCATTGCCGCTCTCATCTACGCGCTCTTCGGCATACCCATCGTCCTGCTCTACCTATCCGCCATGGGCGAGGGCCTCTCCGCCGGCATGCGCTGCCTTTTCCGCAAAGCGCGCTCCAAAAGCGCTGTCAGCAGCGGAAGTGGTGGCGGCAACAACGGCAGTGGCGGCAGCGGGAACGGCGGCTCCGGCAGCGGCAATGGCAAATTACCATCAAACGACAGCGGCAAGAGCGCGAATAAAAATTACCATCATGGCAGCGGGAAACTCCACCCTGCCACTGCGCACCACTACGGACTACCGAAGTCCGCATATCATCACAGCGGCTCCATGTCTATGGGCGCTCATTCCTCGGCTCACGGCCCCAGCGTGCCCATATCCATTTGCGTCATGGTGCTGGTCTGCTATGTCACCTCGGGCGCGCTGCTCTTCCACAAGCTGCAAAACTGGAGCGTTTTGGAGGCGCTCTACTTCTGCTTCACGTCGCTGGGCACCATCGGCTTCGGCGAGCTGGCGCCCACCGGCAATCTCACACTATATCTTGCTTCCGCGTACATACTTGTCGGCATGGCGGTGGTGGCCATGTGCTTCAGCCTCATACAGACGGAGATTGTTATGTGGCTGCGCAAGTTCAGCGTGCAGGACCACGTGATGCCGCAGGTCGAGGATGTTGCACTCGTCTCGGTGGCGGTTACGCCGAAATCATCTTGACAACGACCGGCTGCTGAGCTGCTTGCTTTCGGCGCTGGTGGCGGCGGCAATGCCAACTCGAACGTACAACAACCACTCGGTGGCTTCGGTGGCAACACACTGGGGCATCATCAGACAATGTTCTTCGGGCCGGCGCATACGCTCACGCAGTATAGCTCACTACCGCGGCGTTCAGCGGTCTCAGCTTTCCAGCGCAACACGCCCATACGCCGCTCCACCGGCATACCTGAACATCACATGGAGTATTTTGTGCCGCGCAGCATAAGCGAGTTCAATTTGTCGGGTGTCGGCGACCTGGCACTGCCCCCACCGCGGCGCTACTCACCCACCATACAGCACGGCGGCGGCATGGGAATGGGCGGTGGTCTACCGCACGGATTGCAGCTGGGGCCGCCGCAGACTCTCATTTGTACTGGACAGCCTCCGCCGCCGCCACAGCAAATGCAGATACTGATGAAGCCGCGTGAGAAAATGGTCACCTTCGAAGACGAATCGAAGGCTATGAATGCAGCGGCGGCTGCAGGCGTGACTACATCAAACGCCAGCACAGCGACGCATTGTCCACACGGCGTGCCAACGACGCCGCGAAAGGCGGGCGGCATGATTGGCGGTGGCGGCCGGGACGTCTTTATGTGACGCGAATCGTTGCGGTGACCATTCAGCCTGCTGCTGAGCGACAAGTCTAGTGATGACGCGGCGGCGGCAGCGGCATATGCGGCGGTAGATGCAGCCACTATGCTGGACGACGGCATTGGTGGGGTTGATGAGGTCACAGCAACAACGGGCACTTCCACGGCGACGGTGACGGCGGGCACGAGCACACTGATCGCCGGCTTAGACAGTGACAACGAGGAGCGCGACTCGCCGACGGGCAGCCTTGGCGAGCTGCCAACCAAGCCGAAGTCGACACCAGGCGATGTGATACGCGTGTGAGTGGAATGCGGTGCAGCGGGCGGTGCGGCGGTTTTTTGTACTAAGCTCAGAGAGTGGACACTCCATTTAACAATTACCAGACTCAATAAAAGCGTAAGTCAAGGGGGTTGGGCGGTGCTAGTGCGGGTGGGTGGTGATGAGTTAGAAAATAAATTAGGATATAAGTGCGAAAGGTTGACGCAGTGGTCTTCATATGGCTGCAGCATTCAGAAAACACCCACACCACGAAGTATTGCCTAGTAGTAGTGACCCAAATGGGGCGCGGGGAAGGCAAATAATTTATTGTGGATGTTAGAAATTAATGTAAAATAATTAACTACGCTTTAAGATTTTAGCTAAATGTGACTGAATTAGAGTTTGTGGAGTGAATGAATATTTTTTTTTTTTTTTCCAAAGCTCGCATTTTTAGTTTACCCCCGAAAAATTTTAATCATTTACATTTATCTTAAATTTATCATTTTAAGTAAGTCAAATCTTCAGCATACACACCAGCGCGCACGTTTCCAACTAGCCGCCTTGGCTTTTTCAATTGTGCGGATAATATTTCGATAGGAAAACAGAATATAATTGGTAAAAATTTCTCTCCCGAAACAAAAGCCAAACACAAACTTTTTATTTAATTAATCACCAAAACTATCAATCTTATTTCCGAAATTCGAGTTTTGCTTTTAATCCTTTCTTGATACTTCCCCTTAACGGATATGAATTTGACATTTCTAGACATAAACTTTACAACTTTTAGAAATTAAAAAAAAATATACTAAAAAGAACTGTTTTTATATAAAAAAATTAAAAAAAAAAATAACCTAAAAATTTTTAACTTCCTTAAAAAGTTGCCAATGCAAAAGTGTAATAAAAATAAGTCCCATCTAAATTTCTTTACTTATACATTTTTATAAAAACATTAACACAAAATTTTCTAAATTTACTTTTATCATTTTCATAATGTGTTCTGGTATAAAACGCTAGATATTCTAAATTAAAATACTTCGTAATTTAAAATTTTATACACAATATCGGTCATATCAGCGCAAATTTTTTAGCAGTAGTGTTTTTTTTTTTGTCGCATTTGCTATATAACCAATAAACAAAATTTTTTTCTTTCACTTTTGGCAAAAAAAAAAATCTAAAAAATTAACGGTAATTTTAGTCATGTTAAACTTGCACATTACTACACAAATTGAATGGGCTATAAAACTGTATACACAAAAAAAAATTATAGAAAAACTGTTGAAATTTGGATGAAAATTTATCGAATTTTTTTAGTTTTCTACAAAGTTTTAAACTTGGGTGATGTGGGTTTTATTAAAGAATGAACTGTATTTTAACCGAAAATTCTTAAAGATAAATAAATAAACATACATATGTGTCAAACAATGTAACTTTAAGATGTGGTGCACTTGATATGACCGATACTGTATGTGAAGAATTATTTATCTACATAGACAAATTTTTAGACTTAAGATGCTACGACGCTAAACGCGCCTGGTGAATCCCCTAAATGTTAAAATTTATTTCTTAGCATATTTTTGACGGCAAATTTTTGCCATTTAAGATATCTCTTTTTTATTCTTAATATAACAAATCAAAAATTGAATAACTTAAATTAAAATCTTATTTTTTTTAAAGCCAAAATTCGACACTCCTAATCCCTTTAAAAATTTCCGTGCCAAAAATTTAATTATACTTTTGAGTTAAACTTGAGTTAATATTAGCTTCCTTTTTTACACCTCTGACAACAAACAAAAACTAAAATATAAAATTTATAAAATTGAAATTTTTTTGCTGTAATTTCCAATTTTTCAATTAAAATTTTTCTTATTAAAAGCATCTTATTTTAAGCTAGATTCATAAATTCTTTAATTTTTTTAAAGTAATTTTTTTTTTCATTTTAAATTTTAAATCTACGAAAAAAATTTTTACCTACTGCGTTACAATTTGTGTTCACAAGCCATAACTGCTTGAGTCGACTTCAGTATAGTGTTCCATTTCCAGCCTTGGAAATTGTCATTGAAAAACTTCTGGCGAACGAGCCCGAAAGAAATATTTTGGTGCCAGTAACTCACTGTCAATATTCCCATCATAAAAAATTTTTTAAATGTGTTTGGAGATAAATTTTTAAACCTCGTTGAGGAAACGGCTCTACGCGTTTGCAAATATTTTTTATTAAAAAAACAAGCTCCTTAAAATTGTAGTATTTTCCCCCCGAAATTTCGACTGAAGTTATTAAAAATTTACGTTAGCATGAAAACGATTTGCATAGCTGTTAATATTATTTGCATTATCGCATACACAGACATACATACATATAAATTTATCTATTGATTTTATTTTAATTTGCTGCACAAATTGCATATTTCCTCCCTAAAAATTTAATAACAATTTCCTAATTAACAAACAATGCGAAAACGACTGCTAACTGAATATTCGATAAATGCAAAATTTTTATAAATTCACCGAAAATTGCAAATTAGGCAGGCAATGAGAGATAGCGGTAATTGTTTATGAAAATATAAGCAGTATTTATTTCGAATGATGTGCCACAGACAATGGGCAGCAATATTGGAGATATGTATGTAAATAGTTGGCAATGCAATACTCACACATGCACATACACATGCCGCCACCCCAGTCACCAATCAGCAGTCGGCAGTTAGCAGTGACTAAACTTGCCACATTTAATTTAATTAAAAAGCCATGTGTTTACTATTAACACAAGTGGCATGGCATGTGTGTGTGTGTGTGTGTGTGATATGTAATTGCTGGCAATGGACATAAAAAATTGCTTGCATAAATTAAATTAAATTGAATAACTGGCACTGAAACTGAAATGGAAACCAAAACCGAAACTAACTCGTTGAAAGTTGTTAAACTCAGTCAAATGATTGGGCAACTACGTACGTAAATACGTACGGATGAGTACGAGCAGTGCGCTCGGCTGACTCGCATTGTTGACCGTTCGGCTCAAGTGCCACCATTGCTATGTCAGTAATGAGGTGAACCAGCGACAGCCGACAGCCGACAGCCCAACCAACAGTCGACATTGAGGACATATTTTTGTGGTTCTGACCCTCGAACTGACGAACTGACTAACACACCGGCACTACGGCGTGCTACTCCATGTTTTGTGTATGCCATTGTAGCATACTTTGAGGCGCATACTTGCTGCCCAGCTGACCACTTCACTTGCCACACACTCACAGCAGGCTGGCTGACTCGCTGGTTGTCTGTCATGTGTGTAGGATAATGAAAGACTCGAGCTGACACATACACATATCCTCATATCCTAATCTACATACATAGTTGTGCTTGTGTTTGTTTATCGCTATGCTGTGTCTGAGTCTAAAGTCATTTACTTTTTCATACACATACATACATAATTTTGCAGCACTGCCGTGGCCATTGTGGTTTTGACATATTTTTTCTGTCTTATGATGTTGCTGTCTTCAAGTGACTTTTCAAATGTCTTATTAGTTGATAGTCAAGCACAAACTCACTCACACACTGGCATATACATATGTAGATACTTGCATGCATACACATGCACACAATGTCCCCACTCAACTCAACTAGAGATATGAAAGAATTTATGAATCGTTTGCGATAAGTCGCTGCCATCAGTAGGGTAACCCGCATGCAGTCTCATGTACCATATCTACTCGTGTATGTGTGCGTGTGTTTGTGGTTCTATGCTGTAGAAATTTTCCAATGTAATTCGGTTCAGTTGCTCGGTTTGGCTTTTGAGTTATAGACCGACCGGTGGCAGTCCACAGAGCAGTTTGCCGGCTGAAAAATGGTTGCCTGCAAATAGTTGGAGTATATTAAAAATCTGCTAAAATATTAGGAATTATTTTCGAAATTTATTTCCATTATTTTTTATGTCACTCCAACGGGCTATTCTATGATTTGAATATTTGGACAATTTTATGCGTGATGCGGCAAAGGCAAAAGTTTCACTGGCTTTACAGAAAGTTAAACTAGAAAATTTTTAAAGTTGATGGAAAAATTGTCATTCGAAACTTAGGGTGGGTGTGCCAAACATCAGGCATAGTTTATATTATTCTTAAGAATGGGAGCCGTTTTCTTAAGTAGGTTTTACAAATTTTCTGCTCTTCTAAACATTTTTCTCAAAACGGCAATAACTCAACTTTTTTGAAGTAATAATTTTTTAATTAGACATTTACTAAATTTTTTCAGTTTTTTGTTGCTCTTCTTATTCGGTTTTTGTTTTGTTTTTGTTTTCAAACAAATTCTTTGTTCCTTGCCGACTTTTCATTTAAAAAAATATACCGAAATTTGAACAATTCATATTTTTGTATACTTTTTGCATACTTTTTGAATTTTTTAACGTTTTTCTTTAACCACAAAACTATAAATTTTTACTTATTAAAATTTTCAGCAAATTTTATAAATTTAAGTTTGTCAGACTCTAAAGATTGTAATTAAAGCAAACGTTTTTCCCCATTTTTTCAAATCTGTAAAGCTTATTTTTTTCTTTCTTTACATTTTTAAATATAAAATATTAGGTTTTCAATGTAAAATTTTTTTTCTAAAACTATTTTTCTGTGAATTTTTGTATCAAAATTAGTAAATTTGAGTTTTCTATACTTAGAAATTTAGAATTAAAACGTTAAAATATATTTTTTTAATATTTTCGGAAGCACTTTTTCAAACAATCTTCCTCATATTGCTTTTTGCTTAAAATCTAATTTTTTTTAAATTGTCTTTTTGTATGTAGTGGACACTTTTTGGTAAATAGCAGTTATTTTCTTTTTTAGAAAATATAGGTTTTCGCTGGGGTGGTTATGTACTTCCAAAATTAACAAACATTAAAATTTCAAATACAAATTTTTAAAATTTTGAATTTCGAATTATTAAAAAAATTAGGATTATATTTTTCAAAATTTTGTTTCTTGCTAACAACTAAATATAAATTTCTGGGAGTAAAATTTTATAAGCTTTGGAAAGTCTTTTTTCAGAAGTAAGAAAATTTACAAAATTTTTGAACATATTGTTTGAAGTTGAGTAAAAAAAATAAATACACATTTATATAGATTGAATAAAATGAAATCTTAAATTTATTTTAAAATTTA